CAGTGCGTCTGGAGCACATAAAGGGGCACTGTCCCTCAGGCGTGTGCTCCTCAGCCACGCAGGAAACGTTGGGGTTTGTGTTTGAAGCCTGGCTGAGGTTCCCTAATGGGTGTTAATCCACTGGTTTCTTTGACTACATCCCCTGCCAGACCTGGTCCCACCTTAGAAGCCTGCTTGGGGTTTCTGCTTGCTTCACATAAGAGTTCAAAAATGTGTAGGAGCAAGAGGCTCTGTAGTGGACTGAGAGTGTGAGAATGGGGTGGATTGAAGGAGCGGATGCAACAGCTAAATTTGTCTTGCTGAAACAGTGAAAAGTTGAATGTACTTCCAAGCATTTGAAGGAGTGAGCAACTCTGAAGGAAGAGGAGCTCTAACCCAAAGGGGCTTTAGCATAAGAGACAGCGGAGAAAGTTAAGAATAAGTTTATGGGTGGGCTGAGCAGATCTGCTGCTGGTGGTTGTTGTAGTTTCACTGAAAGCTGTGGGAATTCATGCCAGATGGAGACATGGCCTGAAGCATTGTTGATACAAAGTAATGGTTTCCCAGGAGAAAGGACGAAAATCCTTAACCTGGAGAGATGGCCTGACATGTCACTATGGTAATGAATCCTAAAAATAAAAAGTTTGGGAAGGAAATGAACCCTTTGCTCACAATCATCCTTCCCTTTCCTCGAGGCTGTTGAAGAGTGCTCTTCCCCTGAGTCCCATGCCACTCTGATGGCTGTGATCCCATGAAAAACCTGTCCCAGAAAGGTGTTTTTCCTTTAGCTCTCCTTACAGTCTTGCAACTCTTCCTCTCTATGCTCACCTCATATATTCCCTTTCCCCATGGCTTGTTCGCTCTATATGTATTTTTTCAAAGTGCTGGAATAAGAAAAGGAACAGGTTTTGGCAGTATTTGTTTTTTCCTGAAGACCTTGCGGGGTCCCTGTGTGTGCTGCAGGGCTGGCAAGCACCCATGCCCCCTTGCACAGGGGCTGGTGTGCAGAAGGACATGAGGACCACATGGCTGCAGCCCTGCGTTTAATGAAGGACGTGACACTTTCGTGATAGAACAGCAGCACTGAAGTCAGCGTGATTAACCACCTCCCATGAGAAGAGTGCACGCACAGAGGGGTCATTGAGCACAAGAAGTTATATATTATTTCTTTTCCCCACCTACTGCTCCTTGCCGAGGGATCCCAGGCACAACAGCCAAACCCTGCTTGCTAATCTCCCCCAAAGGAAAATTGTGTAATTTCCAAAGAAAAGGGCCTTGCAGAGAGAAAAAAGATGGGGTGGGGAGTGGGAGAAGAATATGGGGGTGGTGGAGAAAGGCGATCTGGGAATGACTAAGGAGGCTGGCAGAGCAACCGGAAGTTTCTAACAGGCACTTCTGGGAAGAACACGTTGGTGTTGTTGGGGCGCCACTGAGCCATGATGCAGGGTGAGAGTAGCAGCTGCGTAGATATGGGGCTGGTTTGTGATTCCTAGGGACAAATGTTGCAGAACTGTTCAGGATCTGCAGAGGAACCTGAAGGAGAAGTACAGGACAGCCCGTGGTGATACAGCCAGGGTAGGTGTAAATGTAGGTGGCTGTCATTTTTAAGCACATTTTCAGAGGGGAGCAGCTTACCTGAAAGCATTTCAGAAAGGCATTCGCAGCCTATCTGGTCTTGCTTCAGGAGGAACCCCATGTCCTGTGCTGGTGCTTCAGTGCAGACTGGGCTGGAGAGCTTTCGGATGGGTGCTGCAGGGACAACCCTGCTCTGGAAAACGTGTCCTGCGTTGCTGCCGGCTGGGAGAGGGCTTGAAAAGCTCACAAGGTTCAGCTTGTTAAAGACCAAATGTAGAGGTGATTATGCCAGCACAGATTTTTTCACTCCTGTAAATTTTAAGTAATTGGATTTTTGCAGAACATTTACTTCTCTTAGCTGCAGTTGTTGTGCCTGAAGTTGAAACGTATGCAGAGAAGGCTTTGGCCCATGTTAAATGTTATAGTATATCAATTAATCAAGACTTCTGTGGTAGAAACCCCAGAGAGTCACTGGTAGCTCATGGCCCCCAAGCAAGAGCTCTCGGTGGTCTTGGGCCTTTCAGCCAATGGATGTGATATGGCCTCCTCAGTTTCTCAATGTGATTTTCATGGATTCTGCACATCTTGAGGCTTAATCCCAATGCGGAAGCAGAATGGGACTGATCAGAAATCATTAATGTTTTAGCAAGAGCTGCCAAAGAGGAAAACCAATTGTGAGCTTGCTGGGTAAATGGCAGAAGCTGTTTTCAGCTCCTGTATCTCAGTGCTATGCTGCTGTGTCTGCTGGCCATGGCTGGGGAAAGCCTCATCAGCACAGTCTTCTTCAGTCGGTTTGCAGCCACCATAAAACCGTAGTAGCCAAGACCTCTGAGTCTCTGAAGAGATGTTGGCTGAAAGGCACATGTGTTGGAGGCACGCTTGCCAAACACAGGCCCTAAAACCTGTTCTAAAGATTCACTCCTCATCTCCCTGAGAGAGGCTGCAAGGTGTTACAATCCCGCCCAAAACTTCTGCTCAAGCCACTTTAACAAAGCAATGGTTTCCTCAAAGCCATGGGCCTCTTGTGTCGTGTGGCAGCAACCAGCCTGGTACCCGGTAGCTGGGATTTGCGGTGCCCTGGGAAGTGAGGTACAGCCTTCTAGGCCATGCCAAGGCAGCACCTCACTGTGTGTCAAAACCAGTAACTTGCCTGGCCTTTGTTTGGAGGTTTGTTAAAACTGTGGGACTGGTTAGTAGATGCAATTTTTTGACCAGGATTTTGAAGTTAAATGCCTGTAATAATGCATACAAAATATATCATTCTGGAGCTTGCTGAGGGCTTAAAAGCAAAGTCTGTGACTGCTCTCCCAGGAAGCAGGAACATGGATGTGTGTAAATCAGGAGACTTAGTGGCATCTCCAAAAAGGTGGTTTAGTAGCTGGTGTCCTGGCCAAAACCAGGACAGCTGGGCTGCCTTTTGGCATTTTATTAACACATGTGATCGTGAACATCATACTGTTTCATTCCTGCCAAGGAAACATGTACATGTTTTGGCGGTGTGTGTCCCCTTCTGAATCTCTGTCTACACATGTATGTGCCACTGCTCATCAGCATTTGTGTTTTGAGGCTCTGGCTGACAGCAGCCATTCAGGCTGGGCAGAGCACATGGGGAAAGATAGCCCTGCTCCAAGGGGCTTGCATTCTCACCAGGCAAGACGACCAGCAAGATGTGACTTTTTTCCTTTTCTCTTCAACAGAAGCACTAATTGTGTGGCTGACTGAGAGCATGCAGGAACAGCAGCACTTGCAGTGGAAGGGAAACCCAGATCTCCCAGGTACCAGACGGGCATCTCCTCCAGGGATTGCTGGTTTTGGTCTGGTTGCTGTGTGATGCTCAACTCTTCTGTTCCTGAAACGGAGCCTGTGCTGCAGCTTGCTGCAGCTGATGGAGAGAACCCCAGCATTTTGGAGGTAAGTTGCTCAAGCTTGCTTTTCTTCTCAGTGTTTCCTTCTAGGTAACTGGATATTTGCGGCTTTTGGTCTGTGAGATTGAATTTCAGCTTTAAAAGATTATTTAAAATCACCTATTTTTTTCCTACAAATTAAATGTGAAACTATTTTTCCAATTAGACACTGGATGGCTCTGAGAGGTTATTAAGCACTACCTACTGCCACAAATAACGTCCAGAAAATGAGTGAAATTCTGGAATTTTCCATAGCTTTGTGTCCAAAGTTGGTGTCAGAATCAACCTGTTAGTTAAACCTTGCTGACCTCAGGAAAAGAATGTGAATTCAACTCAATAATTTTATTTTTTGATGGATTTCTATTTTGTCTGAACTGAGCCTTGGTGAAGTCTGCACCACTGCTGGCCCTGGCGCAGTGGAATCGGTAGCAGGTGGCCTCTGCAGGTGGCATGCAGACAGGTCTCGTCGCACATAACTGCAGTGAAGATTTCAACCCACTCGTTCATCCGAGAGTACCATTTTCACATGGATGCTGTTAGCCACCCTGCCACTGCCTCTCTCCTGCATCCTCCATTTCGTCTGGTTTCAGTAAAAGTTTTTCCCCACTGCTGGCTTGGAGTACTTTTGCTTTGGGCAATTTCCGTATTGTTTGAGTGGTTATTCACCCACCATGTAAATATCTGTGTGTTTGAGTCAGGTTTGAAGCCTCTAGGAAGAAGGGGAAAGAGACACACACACCAGACCACAATCGACTCTGATCTATATGTGCTATTGGTGGTAACAGCCTTTAATATGACGCAGTATCGGGTAATCGTAAACAGCTTTTGTTTCATAGGGGTGTCTTTGTCCCATATTAACACACCCCCCCTTGCCACAGAAAATCAATGCCTTATACTGAAAAACAGATGGGGGCTCAGGTTTTTTTGGTCGGATTTCTTTTGTTGGGTTTTTTTTGACCATGATGTAAAAGCCCACAAGCATGAAGTAAAGTTTTCCCCATCATCATACACTGCCAGCAGGTCCTAGGGTGGAGAGCTTCTGAAAGGTCAGCTCTGCTCAAAGGGATGAGTAGCAGATGGCTCAGTTTCATGAGCTGCATGCGCTGGGAGCGATGGTGGCTCAGTCATTTATGACACTCGGTCCCTTGAGGTGGTTTAGCAACAGTTTTATTAAGAATATATTTCTGGAAGTTGTGTGTGAAACTCCTAAAAGATCATAGGTGTCAGACAAACCAAGGGACCTGAAGCAGCAAAACCCGAGGGCTCTGGTTTAACATTAGGCTTGAGATGTGCTGCTACTAGCCATTGCTGCAAGGTGTGTTTGGGACATGCACTATAGACAACAGTTGTCCATGGTGAATCATGAGGGCCTGGCGAGCTATCTAGGGGTGAGAAATGCACCCTGCATTTGCAAATGCAGTATTACAGGCTTTGTGTGGTTGGGCAGAATTCAGTAATAGTGGAAACCCAGAAAACAGTGGTAGGAGGGAGCCTCTGCAGATCCACATTAGTACCGATGGTAGTGACTGATGCTGCTGAGAAGATGGTGGAGTCTGGGAGCAAGGCCAGAGGCCCTGTGCCAAGGGGGAAGAGCAGGTCTCTCAGTTTGAGCACTGTGTTTTCTGCTGGATAGCAACAAGCTTGACCTTGAAGAGCCCGCAGCAGCCAGTGGGAGGGAGCAGTGGGGAGGGCAAGCCTTGCATGGCAGTACATCTCTGCGGCTCCGTTGTGGCCTCGGTGTGCCTTGATGATCACCATGCTGAGGACTCAACTAGGAACTGAGGGTCTCTCACTAGACCCTGCCCCAGAACAAGCTACCTGTCTGGCTCACAAATGTTCTACATCACCTGCTAATGAAGCAGATGGCAGGAGAGGTGTAGGAGGAGATGCTGGTAGGAGTTCCTACTCTGGGCCTTATCCATCAGCACTATCAGGATAATGTGACTGTGATGACCTGACATAGTGTTTGGGTAACGCCTAGCACTGTGGAGACATGATCCACATCCAGGCCTCCTACAACGATGCACATAAATAACAGTGATTTAATGGAGAGTTACTGCGCTGAGTGGTCCAAGGGCCCCTTATCACTGCAGATGAATGGAGTCTTACGGATGACAATTCATAAATTCTGAGTTATTTACTGCATGCACCCTGTCCCAAGTAGTAAATCTTATTTTCATTTACCTGAAGTTAACTTCTTTTTAGAAACAATAGCGTTGCCTGTGAGCCTTTTGAAAGATGTATCAGTTTGTGAACTTGTGGGTAATGGAAGGTTTGGATGGGTTCCAAGACATCAGGAAATTGGTTGTGCCCATTCTGGCTAAACTTGAAAAAAATGTCAGTGTTTAGTAACACTATCCAGAGGCAAGCAGAAAGATGAAGCTACAGATAAGCAGGAAGCAAATACCCTCTCCCTCTGTGCACTACTTACGTTTGGTCTGGGCTATACGGTCAATCCCGAGAGGTGCTATGCTGGAAGTTGGAGGGGTTATTGCATAGAGCAGGACACTCTCCAGCAGGGTGTAGTGAATTGGGAAAATGGTGTAATACTTTGATGTGACAAGTCAGGAAGGGGTTAGAGACTTCAAGCTCAAGGATGCAGAAGCAGATTTTGCATGTGTAAGTTATATCTGTAGAAAAACATCTTCCTTGACTACCAGGTTGCTTGACCTTAAGGGCAGTATTCCTATGGACTGCAGTAGGAAAGGACAATAACTTCTACATGCAAATAATTTAATCTGGAAACTGGAAATACCAGGAGATTTAAAAAATTAAAGGCCTAGTTCTTATGTCTTTTGTGCCAGTAAATTGCCATGAAACAAACCCAAGGCTGCTGTCTGTACCTGTGGTGCCCCCAGATTGCAGGCAAGTACTTTCTTTAAACTCTGTTCTCTGAAATAATAGACTTTGCAAGATTCGTTTCATTCTGTGTGGGAAATGAAATTTGTTGCAAGCATGGCTGCTTTGCTTTATGGAGCTAAATGGATTGAGTGTAGCTATCTGCCTGATGTACTCCTCGAGCGTAATGGAGTCTTCTGACGATGTCAATAAGAGGTAAAAGAAGAAAGGCAAACCATTTGAATTTTGTACCCCTGTGGATAGAGCAGGGCATGATGAACCCATTTCATTCTCAATGTGAATGCAGACTTAAAGCATATTGCTTGGTGTGTGATGTTATTTTTTTCTAAGAGCCAGTACTGTGGATTTTCTTTCTGAGCTTGGGAAACGTGTCACAGATGAGTGATCCCACCAGATAACATTGTCACTGGTGCTTATGTCAAACTGGACTCTTGCAGGTCATCCTTGCAGCAGTCCTTAGGGCTTTGCGTGGCAGCTAATGAAGTGCCGAGTGACCTGGCAAGTGCCCCTTTCGCAGCCAGGCTGACAAAACGTGGCGATAGGTATGCATTGTACAAAGCATGTCTTCTGCACCTTACAATCTCTCCAAAAGTTTGGGTAGGATTTGCTCAGTAGTTCTAACTGGGAAAAAATGGGTGCACGATGGCTCGAAAGTGGACATACTTGCCTCTTCTTTGGTATTTTGGTGACCTCATTCAGAATATGAAAGTCATAGTTCTTTTTCCTTTTTTTTTTACTAGAAAGGGCTTAAGTTTGAACCTGGTTTTGCTTTGTATTTGTGGGGATTTGTGGGTTGCATACCCCAAGAGAGCACTTCCTTCCTCCCAGAGGTCTAGTGATCTCATCTTTCTGAATCCCTCTTTTTTTTTTTCCCCATTCTTTGTGTACCACGGCTATACAGACATCAAGTGCTTCAAACCCTCAGTGGTTTGCTGCTCTGTTTTTTATAGTCTTATATACCATAATCTTTTCAGTAGTTGCACTGAAACCTCTCTGTTTCAAGTGTAACCAAGTGTGAATTACAACCCAGAAACAAGTGAATAGACCCTGTATCTAGAAAGACGCAATTTTTGATACACCACGAGCAGCAAATTAGACTTGCATCAGTGGAGTTCCTTGTAATACAACTACTAATGGTCCCAGTACAGATCTAAGTGGATCAGAGACCAAATTAGGTAAATGTTAAGGATGTTAACAGAAATACCAAGAGTATGGTGAGCATGAAGTATGAATGATCTTCTCCATCTCTATCTAGAAACCCTGCTAGTTTGGGCTGTTGTGCAGTGTGTTGTGTCCCATGTGGTGGAATTTCTTGTCTAGCTTGGAGACGTAGCTGAGAGGAAAAACCTGACCAAGTGTCACCATTCAAACTATACAGTCTCTCCTCTGTCCTGGGAAAAATAAATCAGTTCCTAAGGAAGTTGTGAATGGCTGAGCCCGAGCTTGTGCAACCCGCTGGGTCCTACCACCTCAGAGGCACATCCTGGAGGTCTGCTCTGCCAGAAGAGAAAATTGCTGCTGGGCAGCCTGGCCCAAATGATTTCCATCTGTGAAACAGTACAACAGTATTTCCCCTCGGCTGACAATTTTTGGGAATTCATCAGCGTGGTCATTAGAGGGGGTTTCACCCTTTCATATCTGGTTTTGCAGCTGAGTCATTTAGGGTTTCTTCAGCACATTTTTGTCCCAATGGCTTGGCAGGCATGCAGGCGTTGTTCCTGGGGACAGTGCAATGAAGCTCAATTTCCCTGTTCCTGCTGGTGTGTGCGTTCGAGTTGTGTCCTGAGGCCATGAACTCAATCGAGACCCACCTCATTACAAGCACTGTCCTGGCAAATGGTAAACTAGTGAGGTTTTTCTTCCAGAAGTGATTATAAGGAAGGATAAGACAAAGGGGAATGTGTTATTTCCCCATGATAGATGGTAAAAGGAGGAGAATACCTCTTTTGTTAAAGATGTGCTGAACTGCCTTAGTGGAAGTAATTCATGTACTGATGGCATGGGTTGCACTGATAGAAAGTGTTTGTACTGCTTCAGCTTGGTCTCCTTCCAGTGCAAGAAAAGGTGCAGCAGCAGAGATAGCCCGAACGCAGTACAGGCAGGTGAGGTTGTGCTGAATGAGATGAACCTCTGTTGCAGGAGTGCACT